AGGAAGAAACGCACCATTAATATCTTGGATGAGGCATGATGTCCACAGAATTTCAGCTATCACATTCATATATCCATTTATTCAACAAATATTTATTTCACACCTAGTATCCACACGGTTTGATGAAGATGTTGTTGTTGTTAGTTGCCAGTGAATTGACTCCAACCCATGGTGACCCCATGTGTGCAGAGTAGAACTGCTCCATAGGGTTTTCAAGGCTGTGATCTTTTGGAAGCAGATCGCCAGGCCTGTCTTCCAAGGTGCCTCTGGGTGGGTTCGAACCATCCACCTTTCGGCTAGCAGTCAAGCGCTTAACCATTTGTGCCACCCAGGGACTCCCGATGGGGAAGATATATAAGTGGATAAGATGCAGCAGATCCTGTTCTCCAGGAATAATCAATTTAGGAGAGCAATCATAACATCTAGACGGCAAAGACTAGATAAAGAGGTCATCCTGACCTCAAAGCAGCTACACTACTGCAACAAAGAGCATTTGTGTCTAGATAGACTACTATGACACTATATAATAAAATCTGCGACAGCCAGAACCAGCATAAGGCAGAAACCTGCAAGAGAAGGAAAACTGACTGGGTGTTTATGAGGTAGGATTAATAGAGAGCAACAGAAAAGTGATAAGACTGCACCCTGTCAAAGGTGGAAAACTTGCGAGATGCAGAAAAACAAGGCAGTCCCGTCGAGTTTCGGCTCTCACAGGTTTCACTGTATAAAGAATTTAAGGACTGTTCTTCATCATCGTTTAAAATGAGACCTTCAGAGGAAAGAGCTCCACCAAGATGGACACTAAACACTTTATAAAAGCCATTTATTAGGCTCTTAGATCCAATGACTTATGACATTTTTAAAGAAAAGAGAATATTTAGACATCTGTTCGTGTTCCTCTTTGACCTATGAAGTGTTGAATAAATATCACAGGCATTAAGAGACACTAGCATTTCTCATCATTTTCTGAAAAGCACTAGAGTTGACTGCTAATAATAGCATCTCAGCATTCTCCATCATGGATAAAATCAGGCCATAGTTCCTCTATACACTTACCACAAAATCTCTGTCAACCTTAAACTTCTTGAAATCAATATAGGTTTTAAGTTACAAGACAGCATAAAAGTAGTACCTTTACTGGGAGGCAGAAACAAGAGAAATGCTCATTTATCCCAAGGCATTCAATTAGTTTGATTTCAAAGCCAAAAGTAAATTTTTTAATATGAACATTACTTTGAAAGGAAAAAGGGATAATGGTGTGGAGGAGAGAAAAAAAGAGTGCAGAAGTCACAGCATAATAAAGACAAAAGATATTACCAAAAGTCACCATCCTTAAACCAAATTTAAAAACAATTCAATCATTTCATTATAGTAAAGTAGGAGAATAAGATAACATGTGCACAAGTGTGTGTGTTTTAGATGTATCTTTATATTCTTTTAGCTTGGATATGATATTTTATTTTAAAAGAAGATGAATAAATTATCATCATAGTTAAAAATAATTATGATAGCAGTTTATGTCCATCTATATTTACTTTTTTAGAAACATTAAAATTTACATATTAGCAGAAACTCAGGGCCTAAAAGAAAAATGACTGTAAGTAAAATTTTTAATAAAAACTTTACAAGTGTGGATTGTGTAATACAACGATCTTGTACTACATCAACTGTTACTAAAGCAACTTCTCTGTTTTTTTTAATGACTCCCTTGGAGGGTTGAACTTCCTAAAAGAGTAATAAAGGCAAGAGACAGTGTGCAGCTAAATGCCAAGCCAACGTCATGCATTTTACTCCTTAGCAAACAAATTAAGGAAAACAGAAGGGGTAGAGAATATAGAGAGGGGTCAAGGAGAACCGGGAGCACTTTCTCCTCTGAAGTATTCTACCAGACCCTCTCTTCCCCTCATAAATCATGATGAATCTAACTCTCTACTTTCTCCAGCTTTGCCCCTGGGTCACCTGGTCTTACAACAAAACATCTAGCAGTGGTATTTAAAAATAGCATTTTCATGATTTTTAGAAGTAGATCACCAGGTCTTTCTTCCTAGTCTGTCCAGTCTGGAAGCTCCGCTGAAACCTGTTCAGCATCACAGCAACACGCAAGCCTCCACAGACAGATGGGTGGTGGCTGCACATGAGGTGCACTGGCCAAAAATAGAACCCGGGCCTCCCACATGGAAAGTGAGAATTCTACCACTGAACCACCAATGCCTCAACTGCTGTATAAGAACAACTAATTTCTCTGGGGAAGCAGAGAACATGCCTCTACCATGTGCAAGGCAATGTGGGGTGCTCAATTTGGGGCAAATTCAAATATAATTAATATTTATGTTGCAAAATAAAAATGGCATTTTCAACTAAATAGCTCCCAACATTCAAAAACTCCTCTCACCTCCCCTTCCCTGGCTCTCCAATTTTACCAATAGGGGCCTCATCCTTAGCTGCTTTCCTGTCTCAGAGAAGGAGATACGCTCTTCCTCTCTGGGACTCACCTAACAGTCCTCCATGTCTGCCCCGGACCCCAGTCCCTTCCCCTTGTCTAACCCTGCTAACCCTGCTATGCTCAACACACTTTGACCATCTAGTCAACCATCAAATGCTATACTCTTGTATCTTCCATCCCTTCGCTGACAAATGACAAAAAGGGTAATTTACACAAACCACTTCACCTACTCCACTTCCATCAACTTCTCAATCCATTACAGCTCATCTCTTCATCTCTGCTCTACTCATCAGTGCTTTACTGAAACTCTTCTAATTAAAACACCAATGATCTAATTGCCCAGTGAAAAAGCCTACTCTCTTCCCAGTGACTGACACTTCTAGAAATTCGCTTTATCCTTGACAGTGTTAACAACACTCTGTAAAGGTTTTTCTCCTCTTTCTCTTCCCCAAAAGCTTCTGATTTTCATGGCTTTTCCTCTGTACCTACTTCTTAAATACCCAAGGGATCCACACTTGACACTCTTATTCTATAAGCACTCTCTGGGGACCACCATCCACTTCCATTTAGGATACTATCTAATATAGATAGTATTCTGTTGTCCCAAATTTCTTCCTCTAGCCAGAGACTTTCTCAAAAGCACCAAATTCATATTTTCAACTGCCTAGAAAAAACATCCACAAGATCATCCCCAGCAAGCAACTTAAACTTTTAACAAGTCCTAAATCACTTTCTTTCCCACCAAATCTACTTCTCTCCTCTTCTTAGTTAATGGCATGACCAGCCACCCAATCTCCCAGGGTAGAAACCTTAAGATCATCCTTGAGTTATCTGCCTCCCTCATATCGCCATCCCTATTCTATACCAAATCTTGTCCACTTTACTTCCTAATCTCTCTTGAATCCAGCTTCCTCTCTTTGTCCCCATTACTACTAACGTACCTAGTATCTTTTTTATCTCATAGATGAACCATTTCAACTACCTCTAGGCTGCTAACCTGTCTCTCACCTATTCTTATTCCATGTTGCTAACAGGACTATCGTTCTAAAATAAACTCTAAATTAAAACAGGACCCCATATTTCCCCCTATCAGACTGGCAAGAATTAAAAAGTAAAATAATGCTCTTTTTGGTTACAGTGTAGAGAAATGGACATTCTTCACTTGGTGAGGGGAGTTATATCAGGAAAAATACCAAGGCAATTGTAAATGTGTATCCCTTTGATCCAGCTATTTCTAGAAACTTATTCTAAGGAATTAAACAAAAAGTGAAAAAAAGATATACAAGTGCATCCTGAAGTCCCCATCATTCCCAGCAAAGTCTAGGCCCTGTTTTACATACTGTACGGTTTGCTTGGAATGTTTCCCTCAAACCAACGCCCTTCTTCATCCTGTAAAACCAGAACTCATTCTTGAGTTCAAAGGTCAACCACTCCATCCCGTCTCCACAGTTTATTCACACCTCTGTATCACACTGCAGCCCATCTTCCTCTCCCACGGTAGCCTGTAAACACTTCAGGGACAATGGTTTTATGTATGTATTTATTTAGCGCATATCTATATCTGCACTACCTACAACGTCTGACACATAGTAGGGGCTCAACAAGTATGCGCTGAATGAAGGCATTTTCTTCCTCTTTATGCAAAGATTTTTCTAACTTCCAAAATCCCAGGAACTTTTAAAAGATATTTCCTAAAATGCTGGACTCCTATACAGGTTACATTAAATCCTCGTAGTAAAACAGGTATTCACACAAAGCAAACAGTCTTGTGAATTTATATAAGCAAATCATCTCTGAGTCTTTATTCATTTATTTGAAGTATAGTTCCTAAAGGCGTAAGAATTTCCATACTGGGTTAGCGCTGTGGTCTATCCAACTTAGAATTTTCTCTCTCAAAGTAGTACCAAGAAATAAGTTGTAAGGCACAGCTGTCCTCCCAGATGTTAAGTTAAACATTTAGAAATATGTTCCAAAACATTTTATTTCTCCCAATAACCTAATATGAATCTGTCATACTTGAAATCATGTTTTGAAATCATTTATGTTTCAATACTATGCCAGAGTCCTTTTCCATGCTGTTAGAGAAGTAGTATTTTGCATATTTTGTAAGTATTGTAAGTACATAAGTATGATGTAAGTAGTACTGTGCATCCATATACAAGTATTTAAGTAGTGCGGTCATACTTTTCTTTTTTCCAAGTTGAATCTCTTTTAAGATCCAAGAGGGTTCCTAACTCTAAGAAAGGCTAGTAACAGCCTAACCACAACCTTCATGACTGCACAGAGTTCAGTCCTATTCCTGTCAGCCATTCTCTTTCTAGACTAAAGGAATCTTTCTATTCCATCCTTACACAGAAACAACTCTTGACTCTGCACCATTTCACTTTTCTTAATTTTGAGTTATCTTATGGGCCAAACTGAAACAACAATGCAAGTAGGTTTATGAGATATACTTAAATTATATAAAATTTTAAGTCAATAAAATTTCACCCCTGATGTAACTAAGTAAAGTCAGCCTTCAAAAACACTTTTAACAATCACTTTACCCAAAACTTACAGGAGATCATAAGGTAGTCCTCACAGTTGCTTTTGTCATCATCTTGCTGGTCCACAGGGATCCCATTGGCATCTATGACTGCTTCAGAGGCACAATCTGCTACCAATACTTCTTCTGAAACTACGTCGGTTGTCAGAGGATCAGTGACGATTTCTGCTTCTACTACATTATCATGAACCACATGTTCAACATGTCCAACGTCAGGCACGTGTATAGATTCACTTGTCAAGACGTGTTCTGGCACAGACATTGAGGCTGAAGTAATGTCAGAAGCTAAAACATCATCTGGGACTGTGCAGTGTGCTAAAGAAACTTCTTCAGTTACATCTGAGTCCAGCACTTGCTCAGGAATGATGACAGTTTCAGATACATCTGCTTCTTCCATGATGTCTGGGCATTGAACATCTTCTATAACAACGTCCTCAATAACATCTTGGATTACAACTGAGTCTGGGTCATCAGGAACAAAATTATGCACAGTTATGTCTGAATCCACAACATCTGAAACAAAAACAGTTTCTTGTACTTCCACAACGATCTGATCACCATCCATGTGTGTAGCATCAGCCCCTTAAAAAAAATTAAAATTAAAATGACAAATTTCAGGTAGGCATACATGACTATCTCAACTAGTATAAATTATATTCAATTTCTACCAGGAAAACAGACTATCACCTCAGTTTTCTCAAACGTTAAGATAGATTAAAAAAATAAAGAGAAAATCTGTTTTTGAATCATATTAGAAACAGAAATTTTTAACACAAGGACTTTTTGTGCTCATCCCAAATCAATTAACAGACAAAGAAATACTAGGAAAACAAAACAATTGAGGCAGTCCAAGAAAAATATTCATGAAAGAAAAATTCCAGGCACACTAAACTTAAACCTATATGCCTAAGTACTTGAAGATGATTATTAAATAAGTAATGCAACTTCAGGGGGCAAATATACCATTTTCCTTCACTATATCTGCTTTTCATTTCTTTTCCTTCTTGTCCCACCTCCCTTGTCAATCCATATTTTCTTCTTCTTTCCATCTCTCCCATGGAAAGATTTTTTACTTCTCTTCCATTTTTTTTCCTTTCTCCCTTCATATTCTTCCCCCTTCTGTTCAGATGCAATATCCCACCAATATTCTCCATCTGTAACTATGGAAATTTAGAAATTATCCTCTGAGTCTAGGACTTAAAAAGATCAGGGCATAAATGAAAAGAGGGACAGAAGACCACAGTTAAGGAGGAAAGACAATTGGCTGAGGAGTCTCTGTGGATAGACAAAATGAATAAAAGTGCAGCTGCTCTGGTGCAATGGAGGGTGAGGTTAGCTGGAGAGGGGCCTGCCCGCAACTTCACCAGGGTACTCCGCCTCCCTCTAGCCTCCTCCCTGCACCCCCAGCCCCTAACCCCCAAGGCAATGCCTCAGAATATAAGAAACTCTAATCTAGTCCACTCTGCAGTTAAGGAATCAAGGTAGAGGTTGAACCATTTGAAGCCCAGTGAGATTAAATGACTTAACCAAGATCACACAGCTTGCACAGCATATAGTGCTCAGTAAATATGATTCTGAATGAATGCCACAAATGGAAATAGAAATCATATACCCTTACCAAAAATATAAAATAAAATAAATCCAGTTATCTTAACTCCTGGTCCAGAGAAAAGCAAACAAAAATTTTATGGCAGTCTTAACTAAAAAGCTAGTTGGTAGATTAGTGCTTCTGGTTGTGAGTCAGACCAGGCTGAGTCCAAGCAGGTGCCTAACTCAACGACTGTGTGTCATTGGCCAGGCCCTCAGAGAAACAACAAACAAACAAAAATGGTCAACAAGGGCCAAAAAATATTAAAAATTGGAAGAAGTCTTTAATGTCAGTTAATACCTATTTCAATTACATCTAGAAATAATAATAAAACAATGTTTACTTTCATTTCCATAAAACTACAAAATGCTTTATTACTCATTTGTTTTCAATATTTGCAATATGCGAACATCACATCATAGACCAATATAATCTCCATTTTGCAGACATGAATATGAAAGCATTTAGTGGCAAAAGCATTGGTTAAAAGGTCCAAAACAGAGAGCAGGGTTTGGACACTTATTAGTTTTGTGACCTTGGGCAAGTCATTTAACCTCTGAGTTTCAGTTTCCTCATCAGTAAAATGAGGACAGCAGTATCTGCCACGCATACCTCACAGGACTGTTGTGATGATCAAATGGGAATGTATGGGAAGTATTCTGAAAAACTGTAATGAGAGGTTTCATTATTATTATGACATGTGAAAACGGAGGCACTGGCAGATTAAGTGACTTGCTCAAAGATAAACAAACACCATAAGTGTTAATAATCAGGGCTAAAATGCAATAGCCCTTCAATCTACCTTAGTCCATGACTCATGCTCGCTTGTAGCAAGATTAAGTTCGTAAATACTATGTGTTTTTTTCCAAAGACCTTAAAGTCTCTCTTTGAAGCATATTAATTATACTTTATGTTCTGATAAGAAATAAATACAACAGTGCATTTACTATTGTCAAACATGAGTCAAAAGACTACCCCAAGTTGTTAAGAAAAACACACACACACCCTTTGGATTTAGAGATTAAAGAAAATTTAAAAATTAAAAATAGCATTTTTTTTTTTTTTAACCCCAAAATCTCTCATCTTTTATTATTTGAGGATATATTTTGGGAGTTTCTTTTCTTTTTTTTTTTAATTGATGTAATTAAATGAAGTTTACATTTCAAGTTAGTCTACCATACAGAATTTTTTTTTAACATACATTGTTATGAGACCAAAAAAAAAAAATTGCATTTTTAATTTATTGATAAGGTTAATTGCTATTTCTTTAATATACTGCAATATGATCATTTAAAGTTCAACGGAAAAATCATTAACATTTTATTTATCTAGGGTAGCTAGACAGTATAACATAAAACCACTTTACATTATAAAACCTAGTGTAATCACTTTACAGAGCAACATAATTGGAGGCATGGGTAATTTGAAATTGTGAATATGTTTTTTCCTATCATCAGAACTTTAAGAACATAATTTTCTTTGTGCCGTTTGGGGAGTAAGGTAACACTCCATCTGCTTGAAGCAGAAGGCTCCTTTTGGGAACTTGTGAGAGACAGGGTTGTAAAAGCAGGACAGGGTCAGAATGTGGAGGATCTAGGGTTTACAATTTATCTACTAGGCAATGGAGAACAGAAAAATGGCATGATTCATGTTATTTTATGATGAGCACGCTGACTGGTGGGCTAGGTAAAGAAAGAAACTAAGGGCAAGGAAAATAGTTTAAAGGTTATCACAGACTAAGAATGAGATGATAAAGCCTGCCTGTGTGGCAGGAAGTAGGATGAAGAGTTGCGGATGTAAACAAGGAACATTTTCAAAGGCAGAACTAACAGGACTTAGTATAACCGGGGAAGATGAGAACAACTGAAGCTAACACTAAGGTTTTGATATCACTGCTTTTACTGACAGAATATGAGAGCTGGTTGTGAGGGAGCCAAAATTTTTGAGGAGGGGAATTATAATGTACTCTTTTAACATTTATAGAGTGTGTGTACTTTAACATTTGCAGAGACTCTGACAGGTAACAAGATACCTAAGTGTGAATATAAATGTGAAAGTCTAGCAATTCATCCTCTTGATAACCAACCCCAAATTAGGTGTTGGGAAGTGGAACAATCCAAGTAGTTATACCTGTCGCATCAAAAAATGAGTCTGGCCCTTGTGGTTGTAATTCAAGTCCATCTTCATCCATGGCCTTTAATTCTCATCAGTCACAGCTCCTAAGTTAGAGAATAAATAAATGAAACATTAATTTTTTTATATCATGCATTAAAAAAAGTCATCATGATATTTTTATTTCTGAAATACTCAAATTATGAGACAGATGTATATTTAAACTTATCTATCTGAAATAAAAGGGAAATTAATGGATTTCCAGTGATATATGGGCATCTACATAACAAGGAATGGGCACTGGTAGTTCACTGGCAGAATTCGCACCTTCCACACAGAAGCCCTGGTGGCAAAGTGGTTAAGCGCTCAGCTGCTAACCAAAAGGTCAGCAGTCTGAACCCACCAGAAGCTCCGCGGGAGAAAAGACCTGGCAATCTATTCCCATAGAGATTAACCAAAAAAACCAAACCTACTGCTGTCCAGTCGAATTCCAACTCACAGTGACCCTAGAGAACAGAGCAGAACTGCCCTAGAGGGTTTCCAAGGCTGTAAGTCTTTACAGAAGCAGACTGTCACATCTTTCTCCCAGAAAGCGGCTGCTGCGTTTCAATCCCCAACCTTTCGGTCTGAGGCGAGCACTTAACCATTGTGCCACCAGAGCTCCTCAGTCCGTAAAGATTGTCCTATAAGGTCACTATGAGTCAGAATTGACTCGACAGCACACAACAATATGCATGAGATCCGTGTTTGATTCCCGGCCAATGTACCTCATGAGCAACCACCACCCATCTGTCAGTGGAGGCTTACATGTTGCTATGATGCTGAAGAGGTTTCAGTGAATCATCCAGACTAAGACAGGTTAGGAAGAAAGGCCTGGCGATCTACTTCGGAAAATCAGTCAATGAAAACCCTATGGATCACTATGGACCCATCTGTAACCCATCATGAAGATAGTGCAGTTCCATTGTGCATGGGTTCGCCATGAGTCAGGGGCTAGTTCTACAGCAGCTAACAATAACATATAACAAGGCAAAGCAGATAAATCGAACAAGTCAACTTTGCCTAGCTTTTTTTAAACTGATATTCCTGCATAAAGTGGACACATCTTGATGAATTTTGATATAGGCATAAACCTGTGTAATCACTATCCAGACCAAGATATAGAACACTTCCAGTACCAGAGTACTCCTGTCCCCTCTCAGTCCATACTCCCCATATCCCAGAAGGGTAACCAGTTTTGTTAAGTTTCAACTTAAACACACTCTGTAGCTTATCAGGGAAAATTTCTGCAAGATTTTTATATTACCTCTCTAAATTTAATGTAGTCTGCTATGCTCCAGCCAATAAAGTAAACAATGACACAAATTCAAAGTGCTAATTGTAGTAAATACTCTTCGGATTTCTGCCTAATTTACAATGACCTCTCTTAGCCGACTATCTTATTTAGAGGAATAAACTCCCACAGTGTATTTATACTCTCCTGGCCATAGTTGATTGGCACTGGCTATAAAATAGTAGAAATTCAACTGTGAGTACAATAAAATCAAAGTCCCATCCCTGAGAATCTGAAGCCATGAGCAAGAGTCAGTTAGTCTCTTAGGGGGCAACCTGATCAATTACCATAACATAGCTCATAATGTTCTACATCCTAGTTTGGTGAGTAGCATCTGGGGTCTTAAAAGCTTGCGAGCAGCTATCTAAGAAACAGCTATTGGTCTCTAGGCACCTGGAGCAAAAGAGAAAGAAAGAAACCAAAGACTTAAAAGAAGAAACTAGCCTACACTAACAGTCTACACAAGCCACGGCCTCATCTACCTTGAGACCAGAAGAACTAGATGGTGCCCAGCTACCACTACTGACTGTTCTGACCAGGGACACAACAGATGGTCCCTGATAGAATGAGATAAAAACGTAGAACAAAACTCAATTCCTAAAAAAGGCCAGACTTACTGGACTGGTAGAGACTAGGGGAACCCCTGAGACTATCGCCCTGGGATACCCTTTAAACTTGGAACTTGAAACACTCCCAATGGTGATCTATCAGCCAAAAGACAGAGTGGCTCATAAAATAAATAATATCACCTGTGAGTACTGTGCTCCTCTAAACAATCATCTAAATGAGATCTAACAGTCAACATTTACCCTAGACCAAAGATGAGAAGGTAAAGGGGGAGGGGGGGAAGAAGGAAGCTAGATTAATGGAAACAGAACAATCAGAATGGAATAATGAGAATGCTGACACATTGCGAAAAGCGTAACCAATGTCACCGAATAATATGTATAGAAATTGTTAAATGAGAAGCTGATTTGCTATGTAAATGTTCTCCAAAATCACAATAAAATGGATAAAAAGGGTCAGTCTCTCACGGGCACTCTCTCTTTCTCTAGCTATCTATCTTTATCTCTCTCTTCCCTGGTAGCTGAAACAATAATATCCAAACATGAGAGCCGAGAAAGGCCATTTTCCAACTTTCACTTAGACTACTGGAAGGAAGTTTTCAAATAAAAAATAAAAAGAATCCAGTGAATGCCCCGAGAAATAGAGTAGAGGGAGCAGGAAGGAGAGACCTATCAATAGCCTGTTAGCTCTTGGTTCTATGCCCTTCTGACATCCAGCTAGTCTTGCTTTGGGTTTTTGTAAGACATGACCTTAACTGTCTCTCTTCTACTTAAGCAGAAAACTTAAAGAGAACTCTAATAAAATAATAAGTATACTACTTAATTACTATTTCAAAAGAGTAGGTATCAGGGACTGTGGTTTACTCATGTTGCAAGTATTACATAAACCTCCTAATTGGTTTCCCTATCACTATCTTCTCACTTTCTAATCTACCATAAACAGTGCTATTAGATGAATGTTTTATCTTTATCCTTTTTTGCTGATTTCTGTAAGTACTGCATGCTTCTTACTAAAATTGCAAATAACAGAAATAAGAGTCATGTTTCTAAAACATAATTTAAGTAATGTCATTCCTCCGTTCAAAAATGTTTAATGGCTCCCTGCTGCCTCCAAATAGCCTGCAATCTTCTTCATATCTGGCCTCAAACTATCTTGCCATCATTATTTCTCATAACCTTCCTTTAAGCACCTACTCCACAACCACACAAGCACGCACACACGCACACACACACTTCAACCAAACAAAAACACCTAAATACCCGTAAGGCCCCAACTCTACATTTGGCTCAGGGTTCCTTCTACCTGGAATACTTTTCCCCTATAATCTCTGCTTTGATCTAACCCCCAAATCCCCTTCTCCCCACAAAAAGAAAATGCTGGAAATAATCTCTACTTCCTCTGAATTTCCACAGCACTTTATCCTTCTTCTCTTACTGCTCGCTTGCCATATTTATGTATGTCTTCTTTTCAGATACTAAACTATATATATGGCCCTTGAAGAAATATCCATGAAAAACTCAATTAACATTTATATACTAAACAAATGGATTTTCAACATATGTCAACTCTGAGACATGTTCTATTCAGTTTCCAGAAATAACATGTTTCATGTCATGTATTTAAATTGCTTCAAATTAAAGAGTACGACAGCTAGATTAATAAACAAAAAAATTTTGTCAACCTTGAAAAATGGAAAGTGTGCATGCTCTGAAAAAGTTGCCACTGCCCTCTCCCCACCAAAGTCACCTCTGGCTATAGAATTCTTTTTCTCCTTGTAAAAATGTTTAATTATAAAAGGATAAATGTAAATTAATCTTCTAAACATAATGAAATACTATTACGTGAAATTAAGTCAATTAAGAAGGCAATAAAATGTGATTCATTAAGGTATTTATGGGCCCCTTCAATTTCCCTACATAAACCCAATTCCATCAGCTCTAATAAAGGTTGAACCTGCAGAATAACTTTCCTTTTCTTGGCATTCATCCTCCTCAGCTTTTCTATTAAAGTTTGACAAATAACTAATTCCTCTCAATTTTGAAATTCTCTCCTTCACTGGTTTCTTCAAGTGATACCCTAGTTCTCTTCCCACCTTCCTAGCTGCTGGCTACTCTGCCTCCCCTGGCCCCTTACTATACAGTCTTGCCCAAGGTCGTGTACTTAGCCCTCCTCTCTTCTGCTTTCTCTTCTATTCCCAGGGTTTCAACTATCATTCTCACAACAAATTGCTAGGAACCCTATTACAAGTGAGAGCCAGTGCCAAGTACTGAGGTCTTGCTGCAGTCACAGGCAGATTAATTCTCCTAATGCACAGCTTTTAGCACAGCACTCCCCTGCTCAGAAACTTCCACAGGTCCCCATTCAGGATGCTCTACCATATGAACAGACTCCTTTTGTGTAATTTCTACCTGTTTTACATCACACACTTTTTCCTAACATATTCTGGACTACATGGTAGCTGCCCACTCACTTTATTTTGACTTACGTGAGCAGTAAGTTTTCAACAAATAACTCTTTTGACTAGTTATTTTCCCCATTTTCTCATTACAACTCAAATGGGTCAAAAAATATTTTTGTGCTTCCAAAGCAGAGACACCTCATTCTAGTAATCTCCCTCATGTTAGAAATGCTAATTGCCTCCAACAATCAGAATGAAACTGAGTTCTTAGAAAGGAATCTACTCAGAGAAGTTCTCAGGACAGTGATAAAGTAAGGTGGAAATAGTAACATGTAAACCTACTCTAGGAGCCCTGGTGGCACAGTGGTTAAAGCGCTTGGGTGCTAACGGAAAGGTCGGCAGTTGGAACCCAGCAGCCGCTCCTCGGGAGAAAAATGCGGCAGTCTGAAGCCTTGGAAACACTATGGGGCAGTTCTACTCTGTCCTGTAGGGCCGCTATGAGTCGGAATCGGCTTGCTGGCAGTGGGTTTGGTTTGGATTTTCGGAAACCTCCTCTAACGATTTAACTGAATTTGTCTATGCCTTTACGGCAGGAATCAAGCCCAGAGACCCCACTGAATCTTAAAATAAATAAGCATAATGGTTCAGAGAACTGGAGCCTAACAATTTGGGTGAACAAATACTAAAGTTAGTCTATCAAATGCCCTCAAAATACTGTACTTCTGGGATCCCACTATCACAATAAATGCAGTAAAATATTCCCTTCCCAGTTGTAAGAGTGATGATCCTGAAAATGCCTATGAAAGAATT